AAACAGCAGGTTATCTAAAAATAAATTGAAAATATTCCCATAAAGAAAAAATTATTCAAAAAAATTGACAATGCATATCTGCTTGGTCAACTCATCATTCTCCATCTGAAGATATAGAAACAAAAGAAAGTTTCTATTTTAATTTTCCATTTCTGATACCTTACAGATCATTTATCTAATTTAATATATATATACATATTATCTTAAAGATATACAAATGGCAATGGTACACTTGATTCATTTGCTTCTTTTTGGCGAACTGTTGCTAATACATTTGCTAATCGATCCTCTGTTCTTGGTTATGAATTACTTAATGAACCATCATTTCCTGAACTTGCTGAAGTCATTGAAGTAGGAGATGTCGATCGAATTTATTTAGCACCTATGTATAAAAAATTACATGAAGTTATTCGTCAAGTCGATGATAAACATATTATATTTTTTGAACCATGTGTTGCAGATCTTTTTCAAACAGGACTTAAAGAAGGACCTGGTGGTGTTGATTATAATGATCGCCAAGCATTTAGCTATCATGTTTATTGTATTGATGTTACAAAACAAGGTGATCCGAAATCCGATGTTATTTGTGATATAGATGATGCGCTACTTATTGCTTTACGGTATCAAGAAGCTAAGAAAAAGAAATTCGGTGGAATGATGTTAACAGAATTTGGTGCTTTAATTAATTCTACAGAAGGCATTAAAGAAATTCATCGAATAACAGGATTAGCCGATGAATTTTTGCAAAGTAAACTTGAATAATGACATCCCTAGTCTTCAAAAAAAAAACAACAAGTAATTATATTTTTGTCTCATTTATTTAGGCTGGTCATATTGGCAATTCAAAAAATATCAAGATTTGACAACAGCAGCAAGTCCAGCAACAGCCGAATCATTCTATACTGAAGATGGTGAATTAGAAGTGAATAAAGTAAAAGCACTTTCACGATCATATGCACAAGCCATTGCCGGTATTATTTACTATTGTTGCTTGTTTGGTTCTTTTTTATTGTAGTTATTTTTCTTTAATAAGGTCAACCAATATTTATGTACTTTGAACCAATATCGTGTAATTTTGTCTTAGATTTCAATATTAATACAGATATTAAACAGCCAACAATTGTGTATATAAATGAAGATTTAAATTATCCACATGGTAATGTTATCAAGGTATCACCAGCTGATTCATTAACATGGACAGCAACTAGTCGAAATTATTACGAGTTTTCAACAACGACATCAACAAAAAATGGTACAACAATTACTATTCAAATAACACCGAAAACTCTAAATTGGTTTAATCGAGCTTGGTATTGGCTTAAAAAGAAAATTTCCTTTTGGAATTAATAACGGATTCATTAATAAAAAGAAATTTAAATATATTTCAAATATTAAACACTATTTAAAATTAACCTAAAACCATTCTATAGTTACATCTATTGTCAAGTGAAAATGATTTTTCTGTTGATAGATAAAAAAAGAATCATAGAAAGTATATTGTTACGATTAAATTGAATATCTTTAACGTTATCTCCTTTCATTATCATAATATCATAGAGAAACAAGAACAAGAAAATTTTTACAACTAGTAATCAATTCTGACCCTAATGCAAAAAAATATAGTAGTATATTCATGTATAATTATTTATACTGATGAAGACCACTGAAAATTATTTTATATATATATTTTTTTTCCTACAAAGTTCATAAAACAATACTGCAAGTAGAGGTGTAGACCGATTGACTAAGCCATCACCGTCGTTGATGACCGAAGACTTCTGTAGATATATCAACCGGTGTTGTCAATGTTCGAAATAATTGCTGAAGACTTCTGGTACCGCAACGCAAAAATATATGTTTGATCTTTTAAAACTTTCCACGTCGTAAATCGGTTCTTATTAATAAGTTCTATACCATCGTTTTCTCTTTTACATGTCAAAATTTCTCGAAACCAAGAGACTTTTAAAAATTCATCAATAAGTTTCAGCCATCACTGCTACCGTTCAGCTGAATATCTGTTTTATCAAAATCTTAATTGATTTACCTGTTTCGTCGAAAAACTAAATCGTAATGAAAAAAAAGCTGGATCAAACCAAATGGCTTAATTTCTTTGAATGTCTTAAACAATAATTTTTCTAAAGAAATTGATTGAGGGTGTGTATGAATGCAGATGTGAAAGTTTCGTTCGCTCAAAGCTACATCCTCAAGCTTTCGACGAAATAGAACCTAACCAAAAGAAACATGACTTATTGCGCAGTCCATATGTAACATTCATTTCATTAATTATATATAAGGACAGACAGTTCGCAGAAAAGAGAACGAAAGATTCATTGAAGACCAACCAGGACGCAAACATAAGCCGAATAAACGCAGATATATCGAAGAATGACTTCGATAACTTTTTTCTTGTAAAAAAAACAGCTTTCTTTTTGAGGTCTGGATGGGGGTGAGCGATAGCAGTATACAATGGCTTGGACTAGCTTGAATTGGAATGTTCAAAATGGTATTTGGTTTTTTTATCAAAGATTTTTTTGTTAAAGCAAATGAATTGGAGTGAAACCTCATGCATGTAGAATTCGAAGCTCTATCGATTAATAATATCTTCAAGCTAAACAGCAGACGAAGCATCTTTCACTAATACTTCTAATAACATAACTGTTAATATAAATAATGATAGAAAACAAATTTTCAAGTATTTAATACTGCAATATCAGTATAATTAATAAGTAAATGTGTAGCTTGAAATAATTATAGTAAGAATAATTACAATATGAAATCTTCCATCTTTAACGATGCGTTCATTATCAGCAACAAGAAATCATTTGTGACTAAGTGTCTACTTTTATTTCGACACAAACATTAACAAAAAAAACAAAATATGAATATATCAATAGAATTCTTAAAGGTCGAAAATTTCAACATATTCTACGAATATTTAAATTAAACTGCATAATTTATACTTAGTGTTATTATCCTTAGTACAATTATTCCAAGGCCAACCATTTGTTTCAAGATTCTTTTTTCGCTCTCTTCTTCTTTTTTTTCTTGCGTTCTGCATTGATCTGTTAGGCTTTCCAATCTGACGTCTCATTGACTGCTTTTAAACATTGAAAGTCACATCTATATCACGATAGTACATTTTCTTCAAGAACACATAAAAGAAGAGAACAGGGAGAAGTATTCTATACTAGTTGATATCAAATAATCATCTACCATTATTGAAGAAGAATGAGTTTCAATATGCAAAACGGTAGTCATGATACATATAAACAAAATAGTAAAATCAACATCATGCATCAAACTAGTGCATATAATAACAATCAATCAACAATAGTTGAAATAGATCAAATGGATTCATCTTTTCTCATACCATCATCATCATCGTCACGTTGTTCAACCTGTATTACAATCACGGTTTGTTTTGGTGCCATAATTTTTATGTTGGTTGTCGATTTCTTCATCATGTTTTTTTTTTGACAAAAAAAACATATTTAAAAATGAAACGTAATTATTTGTGTTTCTGTATGAGTTTTTTGTAACAGCTTTCTATGCACGCAGTATTTATCTTCAAAAAAAGTGCGTATAATATCTACAGCATAAAAAAGAAATGAAATTTTGTTTTCAAATAAAAATATAGAATAGCAATACAAGAGCTGAAAAAAAATCACTTCAAGCATCTTTGATAGGTGACATCAATAAAACAAAAAAGTTGTTAAATAGCGAAGACGCATTTAACAACGATTCTACTAATGAATTGCAAATAGATGAAAACAAATAATTTTAAGAATGTGTTTTCTATAAGCGGTAATTTGAACATAAAAATGATTGAGTTAACAGCAGCTTTCAAATTTTATTTATTCATCATTTATCTTTTAATATTCATGAAGTTTGATTATAGGATAATGAGAATAAAATAAAATTGTATTTATTTGTTTTTTTCTTTCAATTATTATGTCAACATTTAGCCAGTTCAACTGTCATTTTCAAGATATGTTTTTACAAAGAATAATAAACATAAGAATATAAAATATGAAGAATGAAAATAACTCAGTCATCTGCTCTTTTTACCGACCAGAAACCCAATAGACGACTAAACTCTGTTTTTTTCTTCATATCATATGTTCTTATGTTTATTGTTCTTTGTGAACACATATCTTTGCTAAATGTTGACATAATAATTGAAAGAAAAAAAACAAATAAATACAATTTTATTCTATTCTATTCTCATTATCTTATAATCAAACTTAATGATTATTAAAAAATAAATCATAAATAAATAAAATTTGGAACATATTGTTAACTAAACCATTTTTATAATTTTAAGTTTTTCGTTTAAGACTTTGGTATAGAAGACGCATATAGAATTTTCTTATACCGAAACAGCCATAGTTGAAAACTACAATTAAGCATAAATTCATTTCTATTCCTTCAGAATGGGACTCTTTTTCGCAAAAAAAATATTAAAACACGGAATTATTTTTTATTTCTAATCAGCATTATTGATCTTTCAAAGATTGGTACGAAGTATATATATGTTGCTCGTACCTAATCATAGAACAGTGCCAGTCAGATCAATCGAAAGTACTACTTCGGATACATCAATTCCAATACCAATGCTTAACTTGAAATTGTTGCATCCATAAGTATTCCGCTTTAATAGATTCAATACAATCAATATATAATACATCATTGATTTATTATTGATAGTTTTATAACTGTAAAATAATAGGAAATCATATATTTGTCTTGGTTTACTTTTTTTTTTCGATAGACTTATTCTATTTAAATATATGTTTATTTATGTTGTAGGCACTCTAAAATATTATTCTATTAATCAAATGAAATAGTTTTCAAAAATAGTTTCTATTATCTCATCATATTTAGATTAATATATGTTATAAGCTTTTTTGTTTTAGAAATAAAATCTGTACCTGTAATTGACATGCAGGTAAATTAACATCAGTAATCAATTCTGTACAAGGATGTTCAACTTGTAATCGAGGGTTAAGTTCAAGAAAGAAAAATGTTTGATCATTTGGATTATATAAATATTCAACTGTACCAGCACTAGTTTTTTTTTTTCGAAAAACAAACATCCATGCAATAAATTGAATTATTCAAAAGCTAAACTAACCTAACATAACCAACCATTTTTGCTAAACGTACAGCTGCTTTTTCCATTTTTTCAAGAACTTCAGATGGTGCTATAACAGCTGGTGCTTCTTCAATAATTTTTTGATGACGTCTTTGTATTGAACAATCTCGACCAAATAATGATATAGCTTGTCCACTTTGATCAGCAAGAATTTGTACTTCCAAATGTCGACAACTATCAGCATATTTCATTAGAAATATAGGTGAACCTCGTACTTCCATTTGAACCTAATTTATAAGAATATTAATTTAAAAACTAAATCAAAAAGATTTCTTTGTTTTACTTGTCGAAAAAGATTTTCAAAATCATCTCGACTTGTAGATTTTCGTATTCCTTTACCACCACCACCTTCTGAAGCTTTAATCATTACAGGAAAACCAATTCGAATTGCAACCTAATAAAACAAAATGATATATTGTTTTGTATTTTTGATTTTTTCAAATAAAACAATATGACAGATAGAATCTTACTTCTAGACCCTTTTTGGAATCATTAACACATGCTTGCTCATATAAATCCATTGGAACATTAACATCATCACTATCATCTTCTTTGTATGTAAGTGTAAGATCTGATATATATATTCAAATAAACTTTTAGTTTTTCTTTTCTTTTTAATCATAGAATAAAAAGACATCAGTTTTCGATATCTTTTTTTCCAGCTGCATAACGTACAAATTTATCTTTTTACTTAGTTATATAATATATCTATGTAATGACGTTGCATTTCGACATGATACTCATAGGATTAATTCCATGATTATATCTATTATTGGAACTAGTCTTTCCTTGTCATTCTCTCTCGTATTGTACCATTCGAAGTTATATTTAGACCAAAGCCAGCACATTATTGATATTTGTTTTATATGTATAATGCCAGAGTTATTAAATTTATGCGACTTAAAAACACATAGAACTTCCTAAAATATTCATCAACAGAATCGAAAACCAATGTTTTGCAAAAAAGCTTTATCTCAAAATGAAGATGATGTATTAAAAAGAATGCTTAAAACATTATGCCGATTTTTTATTTTTTTATTTGAAAGATTTAAGCTCTGCGTTAGTTTATTTTAGTCATCTAACATAAATGAGTTAAGGTACACATCAAGGATAAAATATTCAAGCAAAGAAACTTCAAAACAAAGAAAAGGATAAAAAATTTCATTATGCTTGATTATTTAACGACTAGACTTTGATGGGTCAACAACAACAATAATAATAATAATAAAAAAGCATGTCACTCGTCTTTTGTTTTTGCTTCAGCATATAATTCAACACGATGGCGATACCATGTTCGACCAATTTGATCAGGTGGTGTTTTTTCAACTAATTGTTTTGAATCTTGCTCACGTTTATAGGTAAAACGATAATCATATAACCATGCGCGTATATATTTTGGTGGTTTATTACGAAATGGTTCAGGTAATCGACCAAGTAATGCTAAAACAGCTTGATTATGATCAAGAATACGTTGCAAAAATACGTCGAACCAATGTGGTGGTGGAGCACCACGAGCTGCATCATTTGGTAAAAACCTAAATATAAAATAAATATTCTTTTCTTCTTATTAACTAGAATAAAAATTTGTCATTTTACCAAAGTCTCCAATCAAGATTAGGCATATGACAAAATGGTACAATAGCTAAACGTTTATTTATATTTGATGGTTTATATTTAAATTCATATTCATGCCAATCTGATTCATTATCACTTCCTTCAATAATAATTTCCCAACGACGTTTTGTCATATGAGCAAATTTAACGTAACGTCCACAAAGTCGCATTGGTGATAATAAATCATAACCATATTCAGACCAATTCATTATATAATTCCACGGTATTAGAAAATAACGTTGAAAATGTTTATTATAATATATAGATTGTGTTAATATTAATGGACGAGTTGAATAACGAATGAATATTGGCCATGAAAATGGATTTTCCTCACGAAATGTTGACCATAATGGTATAAGTGATATAAAAAAATAAGGTAAAGCAATACATATCCATGGTAATAATTTAAATGGCCATGCTATTGGATATGGTGGAATTGATGTATATTCCAGAAATGAAATGATAAATTCAAATGGAATTAATGAACGCCAAACATTATCATTTAAAAGTAAAATCATTTCTGTTATTGTTAACGGTGCCAGATGAGCATAATTTCCTGTTATATTAATTCCCAATAAAATCAGTAAAAAGAAAACATATGAAATCCAACGTGTTATTTGCGGTGTGTAACAAAGTAATGCTCCTATGCCTTCACTAATATATGTAAAATATGTTTCCATTTTATGAATCGAAGCTGACATTCGATAAAAAATTGGTGATAATGGATTAGGTAAAGGTCTACAACAGACAGATTTTTTTTTGTTCAGAATAAATAAATAAAAAGGCCTTGTCAGATAGGATAACCATCCGTCATTTGAAATGTCACTTATACTGTTTTGTCGAGCAACTCGTGACACATCGAATAGCATGTAGGAAATAGTTTGTTTATAAAGTTTTTATATTCAGAGAAGCCGTATACCAAGTGAGATATTATTATTGCAATTGTGAGCGATATTATCAAATATTAGGAGTCGGTGTGTTGTTCGTATCCAAAACCTAAGCATTTTGGCTAGCTTCTGTAACTGTTGGCCTCTATGAGGTTTTAAATTCTTCTAAATTGCTTGTAAGGATACAAGTGATTAACTATGCAGATTTCTCAGAAATTGTGTGTCATCAAGTTCTGTAAGTAAACCAATTGATTGTTCTCTAAATCGGTGTGCATCATGGTTCAATCAGTCAATCAATAACTAAAAAAAGCCAATTTTTCGATTCTTAAAAGCAGAAATAGTATGTGAATTTTGCAATGGATACTTTTTAAATGAGAACATTTCTATCTATTATTGATAATTTCCTCGTGTCCTTTCATTTGACATAGATGGATGTTTCGAAAATGGCAAAAAGATTTTTCACTTTTGAATCCCTTGAGGAAAAGACAAGAATGAACTATCACACAGATTAGTTTTCGTTGTATTTAGTTTCTTACGAATTTAGATTCTGACTAGCTAGGTGTGACTAGAGTATGAAGCTCTATTCGGGTCCAATTTATGTTCAGTCTCATACGAGAATTAAATATTTTGCATATGTTCATAGCCCTTGAAGAGGTCTTAAATGAAAAAATACTTTTTGCCATTTTCAAAACACTCATATATGTAAAATGAAAGAGTACATAATGAGCTTCTTATTAATAGATAGAACATTTTTCACTGAAGAAGTATTTATCACAAAACACATACAGTTTTCTATTCTTAAGGATCGAAAAGTTGCTTTTCTTTAGGCATTGCTTGGTCGATTTGTTCATGACGCACATCAATTCAGAGAACAATCAATTGATATATTTATAGAGATTGGTGGCATACAATCTCAGAGAAACTTCCATGGCTCGTCGTTTGTGCCCTCAAGAGCAGCATAGAAGAATTTCAAATATCATAAAAGCGGAAAATTACATAAACTAGTATTAATGCTAAAGACTTGGACAGGAAAAAGTTTTTATAACTATTATCAGATATACGCGATTAGAGATGAGAAATAATTGTATTGAAGTAATTTCAAACACAATTTTATATAGATTAGTTTGAAGCAGAGTTGGAACCGGACCGGACAAGAAGTTAAACCGGGCCGGACAGAACCGGATTTTTCCCAGTTCATCATTACAAAATTGTTGTTAACATCCAAGAATTTTCTGTACTGAAAATGGTTTTTTTATGATATTTTCAAGTCAGAAGAATGTGTTTGCGAAAGACTCAATAGATATCTTGTCTTCGACTTGACTATAAACGATTGATTGTTCTCTTCATATCTCTATCGATTTCTTTCTCGTGTATCGCTCAATTGAACCTTGATCAAATAATTTATTCTCTTGTTGTACTTAGGCAGCTGCCTGAATCAAGAAAAATAAAAATTTACATTTTTATGTTAGATGTGTTATAAACTTGCTTTTTTTTTCTTTTTTGAAATTAAGATGAAAAACAGATTTGATCTGAATAGCTAATTTATATCGATGTCGGGCTCGAAAAGTCGACGCACCTTGCTATAAAATATGAAGGGAGAGTTTCAGTCCCAAGTTTTAGTTTCCAGTTCGGATTAAGGGTGGCGATTTGTTGTTAATTTATTATAATTTTAAATTGGATTTACATAAATTTAAATTTTTTAAAATTATTTAAATTTATTTCAATCCAGTTTAAATCAGTATAAATTCAATCTAAACCAAATAAAATTCAATTTAAATTCATTTAATTGGATTTAAATCCTATATGAATTAATGTAAATGGATTTAAATCCAACTAAATGAACTTAAATTGAATTTTATTTGATTTACATCGAATTTATATTGATTTAAACTGGATTTAAATAAATTTAAATAATTTTACAAAATTTAAATTTATGTAAATTCAATTTAAATTCGAAATAAATAAAACTTTTTAAAAATTTATTTTTAATTTAAATTTCTTAACATTTATTTTTGGATTTATTAATTTCTCGTAAATGTAAATTGATCACCCCTAGTTAGGATTTCTGCATGTGAATATTCAATTCCCCTTCGCCAACATTTTATGTTAACAGATACTTTTATAGTCGGTTATTTTCGCCGGATTTTTGCCAGTTTGGCTGTAAAATTCGTTCGGTCGGTTGCTGACCGGACCGGATCGGACAGAAAAACCTGTCCGGTTCCAACTCTGGTTTGAAGATATAGTGACTTCTAACATTTGATAATATTACTCACAATTACTATAATTTATTCTTAATTGGTACACAGCTTCTCAGAATATTAAAACTTGATGAAAAAGTGAATTTCTACATACGTTTTGCTGCGTCATTGTTTGCTCTACAAAATGGTATAGGTAGCTTTGATAAATCGAGGGTGGTTATCTTATTCGACAGGATTCTTTATTGTATTTTACTGAGTCCAATAATGCCACAACATCGCTGAGCCATCTTTCCAACTTCGATCTCCACCTGTATACTAAAATTAAATTAAATGATAAACATAAATTTTTCCTTATTTTGTTTATGATTCTTTTACTTTTCCCACAGCACCACCAAGCATAATACGAAATAGAAGCGTCCATTGAATAAAAACAAATACTTCAGGTTGTGCAGCAAGAAATGGTGAACATAATACATAAAGCATATTTGTTTCTAATAAATTTGAATGCATTTGTAAACCCATAAATGTTGTTGATACAGTTACTAGTGATGAATAACAAAGCCAACAGCCAAGAAAACATATACCTATTGGAATAATTGCAAAAAATGCCATTATTGAACAAATTATTCCTATCCAATGAAGTGCCAAAAGAAAATTGTCGGAATCCGAAATAATTAAACAAAGTGTTGGGCGTTGAAAAAATGTCATTTTACGTTCTTTCCAATAGCGAACGAAACTATAGGCAGGTAATATACCAGTACTACCTATTTGACCGCGCCATTGTGATAATGATGAAAGAAATGCGGCCAAATTAATACAAGC